ATGTGTGGAAAATAGCATCGCCGAGCTCTTACAAATGCGGTCTGTGAAGCTTATATTAATATCGTCTTTACTTTGAAAAGTGTGTGGAAAATAACATCCCAGAGCTCTTACAAAATACTGGTCTGTGAAGTCTACATTAATAATAATAAATTTCTCTATTTGAGAAGTGTGCAGACCTCTTAGAAAATAAAGTGGTTACTGTGCCCGATTTGCAGTACATACGACAGGTTTTGCGTAGCTAAATGTAGATAATCAATCATCTGCGCAGCTCGCCTGGCTGTTTGCAGCCAATCGATGCGTTTCGTGCTCGGCAGAAATGTTTACCTTACGTCCAATCGCGAATGCGAAAGGCGGTCTGATCGTGCGACAGATTCAGTCAGTGTCGCAGGTCGGTCGGTATTGCCCAATCAGGGCGCGAGTTAATTGTGTCACGCTTTTGGATATAATTGTAATTTTGGCATAGTGAGGTCGAGTCAGAAAGGTAGGCGCGGTCGGTAAGAAGGGACGTAAATGTATTAGACAGGCCAAGTGTAGCCATGCGGAAAGGCAGGCAAAAGCAGCAAGACAGGGAGTGCGACGGACTTATTGACAGACGGACGGACAGGCTGCAAGTTTAGGTGGCGGGAAACGGGGTAGATTTCCGCTTTTTTGCTTCCATTTTAGCTCCTCATCTCTTGCACTGAGGACATGGATCAGCTTGGGATCACTGGTATCATGACCAGTTCCTATGTCTGGTGTACTTTGAGGTCGAGCCACCGACCGATAGCTCCGTCCTCACAGTATAGCGTAAGTCTCACTTTCTTATGTGTCTACTGCAGTCAGAACTGCATTTAAGAAAGCATCATTTACTTCAGCTTTCGCTTTGTTGGTATCTCGTGTCTCAACTTCGTCCTCTCTGACCCTATGGAGCACACGCCAGCTGAAACATTTAACCAAGATGGGTGGACAGCCGATACGATATCTTGGACCATCGATGCTCGTGTTTCTCCTGACGACGAGCCTCCGCCACTTCCGTCAAGGGCAGCGCCAATCCTGATCCTACGGGAAGGAAAGCCCTAAGGGCGGATGCGTGGTGGGTGGCCTAGTAATGTGGACATTGGCATCGGCGAAAGATACGCAGTGTCTAAGAAAATGTGTATTGCAAGAAACGAAATGTTTATTGCCGGACCCCAAGGTGCCGGAATAGCCCCTTGCTCTACCTGAATATGTACCCATCTACTTCAAGCGAGCAAAAAACCAGCTCTCAAGCAAAGTACGTTGAGCTGACGACTGCGCGCTATCTTACTACGCTGCAATATCGCTGGAAGCTGCTGACAACTATCTGGTTTTGCCTGGAGGCTGCTGACACCAATCGTCTTACGACAACTCGTATATTTTCGATTTGATGCTACCCTCCATGTTCAGCGGGCTGTCCAACCAGAGTAATTCCACCGCGCAACGACCTGTCAAAATAAGCAGGTACGAACGCAGCGAGTGGTCTACGAAACAGCCAATTCTATGCGGTTTGGGGAAATCACAGCGCAGAACCTCGACGTCGTGAATTCTAGGAGGCCAGGGTCCTCTCTGCTTAAGTTACTGCCGACAATACCACTACACAGGCGATGCAATTAGATCGATAGCGAGAGGTGCTGTAGCTGCAGGATAATGCTTCACAAGACGCATCCTAAACCGCTTTTGTCAAATAGAGCTGAGCGTCATATGGGTGAAGGTAGATATTTTTTTATTTCACCTAGCGATACGATTGCCCTACCACGATATTTTTCAAGGGGTGTATACTACGTGATTACGCCTATACAGCCGACTAGCGGCAGGAGGGGCGGTGACGATCATGCAGAAGATGAGCCAAATGTGATAGATAAAGGCAAAATACACTTGCAAACGAAGGAAACAACGCATGCACCACAGCATACTCAACCAACTGATCGTTACTCCATACAACCGCTTGTGTGCATTAAGTCATCGAGCTCTTGTTGTCATATCCCGGTCACACCGCAGTGAAAGGTGCCAAATATCCATTATCCTCGCGTCGTGTACACGCTTGCATATCAGCATCCAAAACTTGATCTAGATACAAACAAAAGACTATAATAGCATGCTTGTGCAACCAACGTTTAGGAACCCGAAGCAAGGTTCTATCGGATTTAGTTGTGAGCAATATGGCGGCTGGAGAGACAGTCATGCTTCACAACGGTGAATTGCGTCTTGCAATTCAGTATATGCATGAATTTTGGTATTACAATTTGTCAGAATAGAACGAGGTAGTGCACTTGTGGAGTGATTTTTTCACAAATGAAGCATAAAACATTTTTCTTGTGATCACGCCCTCAACTGATTTCCACGCAAAATAAAAGCCTCGTACGTCAAGTGCCACCACAATTGAGAGTATTTTGCCTCGGCGAAATGGATGTTTGACGACTTGCACGAGTTATCCTCTTTGAGCAGCCGTATCATCGCTGTCTCGTCCAAGAGACCAAGTTTTTAAGTAAGCGAGAAAATGGGGAGCAACTGCGCACGGTAATTTCATTTATAGACAGCACCGTTTCTCGAGCCATCTTTGGCAGAGCTCTTCGGCCGAGATTAAGGTCGAAGCGAGCACTCTGCATTTTTCTTACAGTCGATACCGTTTTAGTCGCTGGGAAGTTCCTAATCCCACACGCACATGTAGAAAGTCGGGTGCGCTTCAGCGTAGATTTCTACAGCGGATAAGACCGCAAAATACCATCGTGCAGTGGTCTGGCGAGGATGTTCCTCGCTGACAGCGCCCTTCTCCAGGAAAAGAGCGTACTAGCGGCGAAGCGCTCGCTGCTTTAGTCTAAACAGCTCGGACGCGTAGACACTTAGGACGTTGTAGACACGCATGAGAGCCACGGCATGCCATGGGAAGTCATCGCTCTAGGTCACCGCGATAATTTCTCTGTCTGAATGATGAACGATCTGCTGGTTGGACGCACACCACTCAGTTTGCCGCTAGAAAGCAGTAATAACGGCAGTCGCGCTGTAAATCAGATCTGTATGCGCTACGCCATCCTAATGCTCATGCCATTTCGTGCATTGTATGCTTGCTAAATCAGGTCCATTTCCTATATCAAGGTCTCTATCTCGGGATCGGAGGCCCGCTTTGTCAAAATGGATAAAGATCTCAATAACGATTGATCCAAGAGGTTATTCCTCTCGAATGCGAACGAGGATGAAAAGGCTGCAAAAACATTTGACAATTGTAAGAATAAAGACGCTAAAATAGAGCCACAAAACACAGCCCACATCAGCGCAAGCGAGAACAACTCGTGGTACAAACACAAAACGAACTTGAGATTACAGCATAGCTGATATTCATTGAATTATGTACATGTAGATTGTTCCCACGATCCATTAATCTATTTTTTTCTCTTCTTAGTGTGCAGTTGAGGTCATACAGCCTCTTCTAAAAGAAGTGAGTTCCAAAATCGATTTGACCTCTGGTCACGTTCCGTATGGGACGATGAGCCTCATCTAAATTGGTCCTCAAAGCTCCATCCAACATTCTTCTTTAGCGGCGTTTTAAAAGCTTAAAGCCAATTAAGTCACTCCTCGTGGCTGACGATGAACTTGATCAATATAATACAGCTAAGAATGACAAGGAGAAGTAGATTTTTTCGTTATTATCTACAGCCTCGAAGTCTTGAATTAGCAGTACCATTTAACACAATTGTAAGTCATGGCAAAAAGAATTAAGCCTCAGTGTCGTCTCCAAAACCATTGTATTACATGTGCCATGCGATTCCATCCTGCATACTAAGGATTTTTACTTTTACTACTGTGCGCTCTATTCGATTCATTATTTCCGGGGTTATCTGGTACGACGCGAAATGCAAAGTACTTGAGCTCACTAGCAAAAGTCTACGTAATACTGTAGCGAAATACAGTACTGAATGACTTCCTGATCGGCTAATTTTGTGCTAAAATGTAGTAAAATAGTATTTTGCAAGCAAAACATTTTGCCAATAGAATTGGGTGCTTTTTTGCCGTAACCTATCTATTTTGGGGATACGATATGCCCTTTTATGGACCGGAAGTGCTCACCAATGAGCGACGGTAACTTGTCCAGCGAAGGCAGCCATTGAAGTGAAAGAGGCCGTTGCAAGGGGCATACTGGGCGCAAGTCGTCACGACTGTCGTGGCTAGTTGATGACAGATGCGGCGCGGCAGCAATGTGACATTGCCAGTGTCTTTACTAAAGACACAAAAGACAGGTGCAAATGAGTCACTGCCCAACAATGCCGACAGAATGGTCGTCAAGCTACCATGGCGGCAACGGTGATATTTGCCGCTGGAAGCAGCCTCGCACAACATTTACTATACTGCTACTTGCACGCATACATGCAGTGGTGGTTTGGTGAAACGATGAGGTGCACAGGTTACAGGTGCAAATGAGTCACTGCCCAACAATGCCGACAGAATGAGGTTACAGGTGCAAATGAGTCACTGCCCAACAATGCCGACAGAATGGTCGTCAAGCTACCATGGCGGCAACGGTGATATTTGCCGCTGGAAGCAGCCTCGCACAACATTTACTATACTGCTACTTGCACGCATACATGCAGTGGTGGTTTGGTGAAACGATGAGCTTAAACCCGTTTAGAATCAAAAGTCCGTCGTTTAAGGTTCTCATGGTGTATCATAGTCGACCTAGCATTGCTCACAGTGCAGCAGTATTACATGTTGCATGTACTGAAATGCCTAGCGATAGTTGGTTCACGACCGTCGGACCAGCAACTTGACGCCACAAAAATGAACCAATATTATGAAGTGGAAAGTATCACTAGTCGAACATGGCTACATTGAAGTGATCGAGCTAATTGAGCAGTTGCATGGGAGATTGCTGTCCAACGAGAACAATCCCATGCTATTCGAGTCGTTGCAAAACTATTTGTGGGCTTGGCGTGGGCCGCTACTCGTTGGAAGAAAGAAAAAAGACAACTACTGGCAACAAGAAGCTCACTACACAACAGGAAAACGAGATTATGGCGTCGACGTCCGTGCTCCAGCACTTTGAGGTGTATCAGAAAGCCCGTGTAACGTTCGTCCAGGCCGTGGCGGAGGCTGCCACGCGGCCGCAAAACATCGAAGTCATGCAGAATGCCGGTGTGATGCAGCTGCTACGTCCTCTGCTGCTCGACAACGTGCCAAGCATCCAGCAGTCTGCAGCACTAGCACTTGGTCGTCTCGCAAACTACAGCGACGACCTGGCCGAGGCCGTCGTAGGCAACGAAATCTTACCGCAGCTCGTGTACTCTCTCTCGGAGCAGAACCGTTTTTACAAGAAAGCCGCTGCGTTCGTGCTGCGGGCAGTGGCCAAGCATTCTCCCGAATTAGCTCAGGCTGTCGTGGATTCAGGTGCATTGGAGTCTCTAGTACCATGCTTGGAAGAGTTTGACCCAACCGTAAAAGAAGCAGCAGCGTGGGCGATCGGCTACATTGCGCAGCACACCGGGGAACTCGCACAGCACGTCGTGGATGCAGGTGCTGTGCCGTTGCTCGTGCTCTGTATCCAGGAGCCGGAAGTGGCGCTTAAGCGCGTGGCAGCGTCTGCACTTAGTGACATCGCCAAGCACTCACCCGAGCTCGCTCAAGCTGTCGTCGATCCAGGCACCGTGGCCTACTTGGCTCCTCTAATCCAGCACCCGGACGCCAAATTAAAGCGGCAAGTGTGCAGCTGTTTGGCGCAGATTTCCAAGCACTCAGTCGACCTGGCTGAGATCGTCGTGGAAGCCGAAATCTTCCCTAACATCCTGTACAACCTCAAGGATATCGACCACACTGTCCGTAAAAACGCCGCCACCTGCATCCGTGAGATCGCCAAGCACACACCAGAGCTATCGAAGCTTATAGTAAACGCAGGTGGTGCTTCTGCACTTGTTGACTATGTGGCCGAAGCGTCTGGCAACAATAAACTGCCAGGGATCATGGCGATCGGATACATCTCGGCCTTCTCTGAGACGCTAGCACTCGCAGTGATTACGTCAAAGGGTATTACCCCTGTGAAAAGTGCACTGATCTCAGAACCTGAAGATCACATCAAAGCCGCGAGTGCTTGGACATTGGGCCAAATTGGTCGCCACACACCCGATCACTCGCGTGCGGTAGCCGAAGCCGACGTGCTTCGCCACTTACTGGCTTGCATGATCCACCCGAACAGCTCGGACGACCTCAAGATCAAGGCTAAGCGTGCATTGAAAAGTATTTTGGCCAAATGCACGCATTTGCAGGCTTTGCAGCCGTTGCTGAGCGAAGCACCCGTGAAAGTGCAAAAGTACATTCTCAAGCAGTTCGCGCAGATGCTACCGCATGATCTCGATGCTCGACGATCTTTTGTGCAGAATGGAGGCTTGGAATTGCTGCAACAGCTCAGCGAAATCGCAGGTGGTAAACTTACCGAGTATATCCTCGAAATCAACAACTGTTACCCACCTGAGATCGTCGAGTACTACTCGCCACACTACTCCAAGACACTCCTCGACAAGCTCGACGATTACCAGCCCCAGGTACGGTGAGCTAGTGAAGATCACAGTTAGACCTTCGTATCGCCGGTGTAGCAGTAGTTTCGAAGCTATGCTTAAAATTGCTTTCACTCAATTGTAGTTCTGACTTGAAAAGCGAATAATATCATTCAATACCCTGATCAAGTTGGTCGATGCAACAATTATACATGTAGTACAAAGAACCGGATTGGTATCTGAAGTAAAAAAACTGGTCTACACAGTGAATTTGGTCATCTCGAAACTCTTTAAGATGCTAATTTAATCTAGAGGAATATCGGGCTTTCCTCAGGATTCAGAAGCGTTTCCTCAGGATTCAGAATTGTTTCATCGTTTTCAAGGCCGTTCTTGAGCTTGTTAAGTACGTGGAAATTAATGTCGCTGATGCCAATTGTGCTGTGGTCGACAAGATACAGCTCAGCCGCTTCAATGATACATAATTGGACTCACCAAGCTGAAAAGCTATTAAAACGCTCGGCTTTGTAAGTCACGAATCGTGACTCACGAATGAAGCCCCTGCAGCGAGCAGGATCGTGAATCTGCTGTGTTGTCACAGTTCTACTGTGCATTGTTTTACATGTAAGCAGTTTCCTAACAAGACAACATAGTATTTGTTTTCGCTAGTCCTTCCTGACTCGAAATGTGGGTACTGGAAGTTCCTCTACCCGAATTTCCTATAACGAGATCCCCAGCTGCAGCTTGCGTCTTGATTTTGATCCATCACTTTATTTTTTTGCACTGTGCATCAACTGCGATACCGTTCAGCTTGATTTAACCAAGGAGAGATGTCTCCGAACCAGTACGGAGACAAGGAGGCGCATACACCCTCCGTCGAGCACGACCAATACAACGATTCAACGCTACACTTCAACATCACTACCCCCGGTGTTGAGAGCAATAAGGGGGACGAAGACATTCCGCTGGACAAACATGGACGCCCGATGGTCAAGTTCGTCTGGTGGCGCATGAGTCGCAAGAAGCGACTGTGTATCATCATTGGACTGATCTTGTTGCTCATCGGCATCGCCCTCCTTCTCATTTTCTTGGTCATCATCCCTGCCATTATCCGGAACTACATGGACAAGGTGGTGCTAACCATAAATTACATGGACGTCACGGACATCCCAAACGATTCCGAGATCGATGTGACCTTCAGTGTGAACCTGCAGCACGATGTGCCCGTCTCGGCCAGCACCGACGAGGTGACAGCCTCGCTTATCTACGGCGGTGAGGTGTTTGGCACTGCGGCTGTTGAAGGTCAACGGATTAAGTCGGGTAGCCAGAACTACAACTTGACTATGAACACGACCATGGTGATCTCCGACATGGACGCGTTCAACGCGATGGCTGAGGCGAAGATGCAAGACGACACCGTTCCGATAACAATCTCGGCAGACATCGATGCCCACGCCTTGGGTTTATCGTTCAACAACCTCGACTTTGAGCGTACACTCTCTCTCGTGGGTTTCGATAATTTCGCAGAGCTGGACGTGGAGGTGCAGCATATTGACTTGAGCGGATGCAGTGACGGGGTGTACGACATGGATGTCAATGCTTCGGTCAATAACCCGTCTACTATGGGGCTACAGGGAATTGGTGCGCTTAACATGAGTGTCTACTACAATAGCAGCTACCTGGGCTATGCGTATTCCTTGAAACCAGAGCTGGGTATGCCGCGTGGCGTGAGTAACCAGACGTTCCACGTAGTCATGTCGGAGACATCATCGGCGTGATAAATGGCTTCTTGGGTGGTAGTAGCATCGAAGTGGACGTTCGCGGCGACAACCCATACTCGACAGAGCATGTGCAATTTAAGGAGGCCATGAGTAAGGTCAGCATGACGGTAGAGTACGCTGACGGACTCGACAAGGTCGTGTTCAACACCTCATGTGTATCCAGCTTTCTGACGGTACTGGGCTACTAGAGCTGACACTTTGAAAGGTCAGTATTGGAAAACTACCTTTAGACCGAAGAAGCAATGGCAGAGCATCCAAAGTGCTGCCGTGGTCACACAACATTTCTTTATTTTGAACAGTAAGCGATTGGTTCCTAGGTGGTCATTAAAGTACACACTATGGTTCATTGGGTCCCTGAATGATCTGTTGACTTTCAGCAAGCAGCTCTAGAAAGTGCTGCGGAACTGGGATGCCGTGGTTCTCCAGCAACTTGCACTGGGTCAGTAGCTTCCGCCGTGCCTCGTCGATATCGGTATCTGTCTCGCGGATCTCCAGGAGCAGCGACAGGTTCGTCTCCATGAGCTTGGCATTTTTGCTTCGGATCGCTTGAAGTTTTTCGGTCATTTTTCAAGTGTGTGGCATACACGATGTTGCATCCGCTATGACTGGTTAAAATTCTGACAGCTCTTTTTGTGGCTCTGATGCTCATAACCACAGGGTGCTTGCTCTCCAAGATGCTGGCGCGCTCGACGACGAAGCTTGTGTCGGTGATGCAGCGACCGCAGGGCGTCAAGCCGCTGCTGGCTCGCTCCTTCGCGTACGTGCACTATATCCATCTCGATTTCCGTGAGATTCGCGTCATAATCTCTTTAGAAATGTATTAGAAACTGACATATTCGAATGGTAGACACCGCGTGAACATGGTGCTCAAGGAGGACGTGCCTAAGCTCGGATTCCGCGGTGACGAGGTGTCCGTGAAGGCTGGATATGCACGTAACTTCCTCTACCCTGAGAAGTTGGCAGTGTACGCTACGAACGCCAACCGCGAGAAGTTCAAGGTGGACAAGGAGTCCGTGGACGAGACGCTGCTCGAGAAGGAGCACGAGCTTGAGGCCATCATCGACGGCCTCAGCAACATCGAGGTCGTTTTCAAGCGCCACACAGCCGCTAAGACGGAGGTTAAGCTGCACAGCGAGGTGAACGCGCAGAATATCTCGGACATGTTGGAGAAGCAGCACGGTCTCATTGTGGGTGTGGCCCGAATCGATCTCCCCACGCCCATTAAGACGCTGGGCGAGCACACGGTTAAGGTCCGCGTGGACGACGCGATCGAGGAGGAATACGCTGCTGGCGCCGTGGTATCGGCCGCAGAAGGCGAAGCGGAGGTTGAGGGTGAGGGCGACGAGAAGAAGCAGAAGACAGGCCCGTCTAAGAAGAAGTGGGTGAGTCTCGCCATCGAGGTCGAGAGACGGTAGATTGTTAGGAGCTCTCGTCTGATGCAGGATAGCTACAGTAGCAGAGAAACAGGAAAGAGAGAGAGGTTACGCTATCGCAATAGGTTAGTGTGCATCCGGCAATAGAAAATCTCTGCTATGTGAGCAGTACCTGCAATCGAATGACTGTCACGGCGTGACATCTTCATTATTCACGTCGGATATAATATCGCTGTTATTTCTTGCCACTTTTTAGTTCTTGGCGCCACCACATACGCGACTTTCGATGCTTGGCGCCAACTTAAAACGTGGGACGATTATCATCATCTTCACAATCGAATCTATCGGGCTACCATGACGGTTCGCAGCTTGACGAGTAAGAAGGTTCCAGCAAAGACAAAGCAAAAGCGGAAGCCTGGTGTCACGGTGAAGAGCAAACCCAAGGCCACGCAGCACATTTTATGGCGTGGCAAGCAGATCACAGAGTTTGGTGAGGCGTACTCGCCGTTCAAACTGCACGTAGCTTACAATCGCTAGTTAGCTCACTTTAACTTCTGTAGAATCGCGAGTTTATGAGCTCATTTCAACGGTGCGTGTGTTGCAACACCGAGACGATAACCGATTTTAACATAACTGCAGATCCCGGCAGGCAAGGTGAGCACCTACGGCGGCGTGGCACAGGCACTTCGCTCTGGGCCACGATGCGTCGGCCAAGCCTTACGCGTACGTGACGCTGTGAACTTGTAACCTGAGAAGGAAACTCTTATGAACATGGTCATTTCTAACTTGGGTTGACGCTACTGCAGAAGAATCCATTCGCCCCCGAGGTTCCGTGTCACCGTGTTGTGGCTGCTACACTTGACATCGGAGGCTTTCAAGGTGCAGCTTGGATAAGAGTTAGGATACGCGGCTGAATGGCTGAACTCTGTATCTATGTGTAGGTGCAACGGGCGAAGATTCGCCTTGTATCCAGAGAAAACGGACGCTGTTGGCAAAGGAAGGAGTGCACTTCACGAAGGAGCACAAGGTGCTGCGTTGAGCCTTACCGCGATGTTTGTACAGCATCCGTGCTAAATGTTTAACTTGTCTTACAGATCGATTCTGCTTGTCTTCATGAGTTCGAATAAGCTGCATACCCAAGAACTTCGGAGTAAACGCGGTCTAGCCATTCGAATATTCGCAACATCTCAAAAGTATTTTCAACTCACGTCTGTCTTTATTCTAAAATGTATCATTCGGCTGCAAGTATCTCCACTGTCCTACCGGCAGCGAGCCAAGCTTCACGCCGCCAATACGCACACGTTTGAGTGCCATCACACGCAGGCCGACATGCTCGCACATGCGGCGAATGTGTCGATTTTTGCCCTCCGTAAGTACCACTCGCAGTTGGTTCGCGTTCAGTATCTCCACCGACTTGGCACGATACGTGATACCCTCGTCCGACGTGACACCGGCTTGCAATACCTCAATTTTTCTGCGTATCTTGTCTGTCAATGGGTCCAAGTTAAGATCTACACGCACGAGGTATTCCTTCTCGATGCCGCCCTTTGGGTCCAGCAACTTCTTCGCCACTGTCCCGTCCTGCGTGAATAGCAGCAATCCCGTCGAGTTGACGTCCAGACGGCCGCAGACGGCCATTTTCCACAGAGCCACAGGCTCTACGTTCTGGCGAGGCTTGACACGACTCAGCTCTTGGCATTCGTTCTCGAACGTGAGCAATCGGACGGCTGGAGTCTTGTTAAGCTCCGGTTGGGATGACACATAGCCCAAAGGTTTGTTCAACACTAGCGTCACCTTTTTGTTCTGGTGTCTTTGTGCTCGGAAATCGAGAGAGACATCGCTGTCTACAGGTACTTTAAGCCAATCCGCTTGCACGCGTTCGCCATCGACCAGTACATCACCCGCTTGGATATACGCTTCAGCTTCACGCCGAGAACAGAGGCCCTTCTGCGCCATCAGCTTTGCTAGTCGAACTAGACTTTTTTCATTGTCTTGAGAAGAGGTGGGCGAGTTACTGGAATCATTCGCCACCTGTACCAGCGTCGCCGCGCCGTGCACTCGGCGCGTCAAGGTAGTCCGAAGTGTCGAGACAACACGCAGCATGTCCACTCGAATAATGACAGATGATTGGTTGGAAATGCGAGTTTTATTTTGACAAATCAGAAGAACGACTGAAGTTGAAGTGAGTCGGAGCCGGGCTCGCAGCCTCCAGTGATCGCCCAGCACTCTGTTGCCGGATTCATGCTCAGCACATTCACTACAGTGAACCACACTAGTGCGATCATAAGGATCACGACCATCCACATGCCCTTGCGCTTGCTCACACCTCCTTGACGACGTAGCGCCTGTGTGGTGTCCCTCTGGTTGGGTAATAATGGCAGGAAGATCAGTGACACCAGCTTCATACCGTAGCAAAGCCATATCGTGTACGTCACATCGCGACGCGTCTCGTACGTGTCGGCCAGGATGTCGTCCTTCCATACATGGAAGCGAGCGTTGATGATCTTGGCAGTCGTGCGACCGAACGGGGCGGCCACGTGATTGGTGGTGGTCAATATTCCGTATAAGGCACCTTCAGTTCCCTGCTCGATAAGCTCGACGACGATGTAATTGCTCACAATGAAGCGGACAGCGTGCGGGACCTCTCCCATGACAGGAACACCGAGCCAAAACCACTGGCTGCGAACGATGTCCCATGTCACTAGCATCGTCATCATGCAGTCGGTGACGACACCGAAAATGACTGTAGCAGCGATGGCAACGTGCCAGTTCCAATGCAGTCCGCGATGAGCCATAATGGCCAAGGTCCCAGCGTACGTGAAGGTGCCAACGATGGCCATAATACTTGCGTTGAACGGCGTGGCGTGGACCCAGTACAACTTAATGTTGCTGGACGAAACGATGTTAAAGTTGTTGAAAACTCCCGAGAAGAACTTGTATGCCGCCACTTGGTACACTGCTCGTTTCTGTAGAACTTTCCAAAAGCTTGACATGTATTCGCTGAATCTAGGAGGCTTCACTTCATTCTCGTGCACAAGGAACCAGGCGGCAGGTCCGAGCGGTAGGCATAGACAACCCATGAAGAACATTAGCTGCGGGAATGTGAGCGAGAAATCGAAGGAGCCGCCGTACTCAACGCCATTGAACGCGACTGCAACGACGAGAGCTCCCAACGCGCTGAACCCCATACGAAGACTGTGGATCCACGACTGCAGATGACCACGGCTGTTGGTTGGCTCACGCTGAGAGTACTCGATAGTTACGGCGTCTGCGGGAACTTCGACTAGCAAATATCCGAAGGCGGCCATCATCATGGGGATCACGTATCTTCCTGCTGCTTCAGGGGCGCCAGTGTTGATACTCTTGCGTTGAGCTTCCGTCCATTCGTCAGGGCTAGTAAAGTGCATGCTTGGGTCTCCAAAATACGGTTCTGCTTCGTGGAAACACGCCATCATGAACAGCATGCAGCAACATAGCAGCCATCCTATCAGCATGTACGGTCGTCGACGGAAGCCGCCGATAGGGAAGCAATCGCTTAGAATTCCCAGGAATACCTTGTAAGACCACGGTAGTTGCACGAGCAATGTTGCGGACACAACGATCGTTCCTTCAGCGTTGAGATATCCTTGTAATACAGGGTAGATCACAGCCGGTAGTACTCCGTTGACAAAGCCAATACCTGCGTACTGCATTAACAGCGCCAAGATCTCCGGCGACAGCAACTCAGGCGGTGGTCCTTCTCTCAGAGCGCATCTTCTAAGTCGTTGACACAATTCTGGTCCTTGGGTCTTGCGCCATATCCCACCGGGACGATCCCTTCGTCCGCTTCGCTGGATAAGAGAGCGTTCCGCTCCTCGCGTACGCCCATTCTGGATGAAGTCGATAAATGGAGCTGTAGAGAATGGGCTTTTCTAATCAACTGAATCGGATTGGTGGCGGTGGTGTAGTTTTACCAGTACTGTACTCTGTACGGTCTACAGCGGCATCGCAGCGTCGACCTCTAGATGTACATGTATTATAATACAGGTGAACTTCCACTGGAAGTGCTCCACACAGCCAGCCGGTCTGGGACACATGAAAAGTGTGCCAGCGGCGTGCCCGCATCTCCAATAGGGCTTTGTGTCCAGTGAGCTGCCACGCAGACATCGCAATGGGCTCTTGCTAGAGATACCGGAAAAAACACGAAACAGCAGATCGTGTTTTTTATCTTGGCCGTGCTTTGCCAAAGAGGGCTGCACTCTAACAACATAAAAATAGAGAAATCTGCAGAACTCACAGTTACACCTTCACAGTACAACACCGTAGCAGCAGATACCACAGCACCGCGATAAAACAGAACACGATATCATTTTCATTATTACCGAGACGAAGCAACGGCTACAGCACTTATAACAACAGCGCATACACTTACGGCTAGACCACTCACAGCAGCCACGCAATTAAAAAACGTATACCAACAGAATGGTCTTCTTTAGGAATGCATAGAGCAAATTCTGCGAATTCAGTTAATGTAGATCTCAACGAACGTTACTGTACAGGTTGAGCAAGTAAATGCAGACATTTTAGTGAAACAAAAGCAAAAGGAAGCATTCATGAATGCAGTACGATGAAAAGTTTAAGTCGCAATTCAATACGAGATTCCACACTCAGCATTATCGCTTTTCCTCAACGTAGCCCAAGCACAGGCTCAGGAAACGCAGTCGCAGATACGGGACCAGCTGGTACAATCCCTTGTGCCATGGCATACCAGTTAAACTTAGCTCAAGAACAATGAGGCACCACAATCCACAGTTGTCGCTGTCCTGCTAAAAGCACGATGTGTAGTTGTCGTACGTCAGCTCGGTATTTACAGGCAACAGAGGTTCCACCACTTCCTTGATGCTTGCTTTAATTTTTGCGTAGTTCATATCCTCTTGTAGTGGATCAAAGAGTATGCAGACCCGATCCCCCACGTCAATGAAGAAGGCTACCCAGTGTGCTCCATCGTAGTTTAGCGCCCCAATCAACTTGCTCTTGGTGGGTGTGAATGCCTTATAAGCATTTGCGACTATTCTCTTTCGGTCGGGTTCCTTCGGCTCGCGAAAGGAGGGATTCACCACACCGACGTCAGTGTACTTCTCAGCCAACACTTTCATCGTTGTTATCATGGCTGTCGTGCTGAGCCATTGGTTTCGTCGAAAGCTGAGCAAACGGTATCCATCGATAGCCTCTTTTCCAACGGAGAATAAACGCAGGGGTAACTCCTTAATTTGCTGTAGAATGTAGTCCTGCGAAACGTATTATGATAAAAATTACTGACGTCAGCACGTATCCAATCTCGCATAACTTCTCGTAGCAGTAACCGTGTGCGAGAAGTCAACGTACCCTTCTCTCCTGAAGTGGCTCCCAAAACATGACAGGAACCTCTTCAACAGCGGTAGCCCTCCATTTTACATCCTCAATCCATTCTAGTGTATGTTCAACATCCTCAATCTGATTTTTTGCGTCTCCATATCGCTCTAGGAACATAAGTTGTTCTCGGGTGACATCTCCGTATTCCTCCCACACCGCCACGTACTTCTCGACGTTCGTTAGCGGCAGGACTGACAACGCGTGTGTTATTTTATCCGCAGGTAATCGGTGAGTCACATCGTCAATTGTTAACCGCTGTCTGTCCTCGAGAAATCGAATTGTGGCATTGCCCTTTACTTCGCATACCGGTAAATCCAACAAAGATAGTTTCTCCGATACCACGTTGTAGCAATAATTTCCAGACAGTAGACAGTCGAGCATTATGGGAGTCACTGATGGCTTGCTTTTTTGGTCCTTGCACAATTTTGCCAGGGTGCGCACGCCAATCTTTCGCTGAATACGCGTTATTTTAGTCTGGGCCTTTCTTGACAGTTTTTTGTTTTGCACTGGCTTCGTGAAAGCGTACTTACGTTTTCCGAGCTTTCCGTTCGATTGCTCTTTCATTTTTGAGCCGGAGCTTGACGTTGCGGGCTTTGCTTCATCGTGTTCTGTTTCAGGACCTGGCGCGTTTGGAGCGACAGTTATTCCGACGAAATCCTCCAATGTTCCAGTTCAAACTGCGTCCCGGAAAAGTGTAAGCCATTGCATACCCCTACTAAACGTGGGTGTTGGCTGGAGCGCTAGTAGCGTCACGACTTCTTCACCCAGTATCTTTGCATTTGAAAACTTGACAGATTTTGGCAGCGAGGTCGGACTAGGGAATTGCTTCTTGTCGTTGTTCTTAGCCATCACGCTGTGGTACTCGAATTTCCCCCGCAAGACTGGTCCATTCGTAATGTCATTCGCTGGGTGGGATCGCAACCATCGGGGGCAAATAAGAGAGAGTGGTGGAAGAATGCTCTCGTTGCCGTTTAACTTCCTGTAGTACATTGCGTGATGACACGAGAGCAGAAGCGTTTGGGCAAACGCGTAGTCGCACTTGTAGCTCTATAAAAACAACAGCAGGGTAGTCGTTAGTACAGTTGTCGCCCGTTTTACATTTAGGTATCCCGATCTGTACACACTTAGCAATCTCTGAAAATCAAAGAATTATATAGTTTTACCTGTAAATCGAGATCGTAGCTTTTTCCAGAGCGGCGACTCTGCATGATCACTCGGTTGTCGTGATTTGTGAAGGCGTAATCAGCGTCACCCGACGATGCGTACATGAATTCAGATTTCACAAGATCGAAAGCGAACGAGCTTACAACGACGCCAAGATGAGCCAGCTCCTGATGCTCGTCCATTGGAGGTCTTGACCCTGCCTTATTGTACTCCTCCACGTATTCGTCTTCGGCCCATTCTTGTATCATTATAAGCGCGGAGACCAACTCATCAATCCCGTAGTCCGATCTGATCAACTGTTTGAGCTTTCCCCACTTTGATTCAAGCCGATTGTTGGTGTTGTGCGTAATAGTCCCATAGCGTGCTACTCAGGTTGTGGTTGTGAGTGCCAGAACTGCGAACGTAAATGTAGTGTCGTGTTCCCATACTCGATAACAGAGCGTGTACCTTCGCGGTACAACCTGTGTAGCGCACCGATCTGTGGACTCGGATTCCTTTGCCGCGTGGTCGTTGCTTGTGTCCGTGCGTACACACTAGCGTTTTGAAGTAATGCTTCCATGCAATTGGAAAGTGTCGAATACCGTCATTCATCTGCATATTCCTTTTTTTCACGGTCTGTGACGATCGAATAATAAAACACTGGTTGGTCTGGGCACTAAACGATTTAAGTCCGTCATGAAATTGTTTCCAAGAGCTCCACCTCGAAGGGAAGCCGTTCAAAACACCGTCGCTGCAGTTGCCGTAGTTTTCCGGTATATCCAAATTGACGTCATCTGAATTCTCGAAATGTTTGCTATCAGGTATCCCGAAGTGCGCGCTTTCACGTATCCCGAACTGTGCTTCATCGGGTTTCTCGAATTGTGAGTCTTTAGATTTCTCAAATTGGGCCCGATCTGGGGCTTCCAGCACCGTATTATCCGTCAGATACTTCAGTTCGCTTCCAAGTAGCGGCAATTGTGTGGCGACAAAAGGTACGGGCGAGCTTTCGTCTGATGACGAGCCACTCAGCTCGAAAAACTGTCGCGCTGCAGCTACATCATCAACTGGCGAACGACATGATTTTTGTAGCCGCGTTTCTTCATCTTCTTCCACCACCTCATTCTCGGAGAAACGTCCTTGTCGGCAAACGCGCTGGCTAATGCGATTCCTATGACGTTGCGGTGGTGCCGTAGCCCGCTCCCTTGACATCATTTTCGAAGGCCCGTGCTTTGCTGCGTACTCCGCACGCATTTGCTGTACCTGAGCCTTCACGGCCTCTTCGTTCAGAACTTCCTCCACTAGCTTTATCGCAGCAGATTGCGTCGCTTGCCGGAGCGGCTGAGAATTTGGCAGCTCTCTGGTTCTCTCGAGATTCTCACGGCTAGCGCGAAGGTTTAATAGACGATCTCGACCTTGGAGAAGGATGTGACCCCGCTCCACCTGCCCATCGGGATCTTCTTCGCGTTCACTCTGCCGTATAGCCCCAGCACGTCACACGTCAGTATAGGCAGTCAAACAAACGGAACAAGTTTCCGTACCATTCACTCTTCCCCACGCGAATCCTTCTTACAAATGAATGGCACTCAAATTTTTATAAATTCGATTTCTTTGAATATTTGAAATACATGTCTCAGATCGAATTACCGATCCCACATTTCGGCATACCGGAAACCACACTTAGAGTCTACACTTTTACGGTATCTCTAGAATTTTTCCATCGCAATGGCTCTCTCGAAGCGTTTTTCGATGCGTGACAGCTTGTAACTGTCAGTGACTCACTGATAAGGCACTTGCAGTCGGCAGCGCGACTGCTCCAGCAGTGCAGCCGACTTTGTAAAATCTACTGTTCTCCTGTAAGATGATTTGCAAAAGACAACGCATCTAAAACACCTTGTTTTGCAGGATAACACTTAAGCTTTGTTTTCACTTGGTATTTGTAAGAGCAGCCGGGGGGGATTACCCGGCTCTCCTGTGGAAAGGCATTATTTAATGTAAAGAGGTCGTTACCAGCCGCGCTTCGCTCGCGATTAATAGATTCTCTCACTTGGGAAGTGCAATGCGCGGCTCGCTGGTGAGCTCGGCGCTGGGCCCGCCTCCGCAAATACCGCGCGGCCCTGCTTCGCGGGCTCCCCGCGCGGGTTTGCCGCGGCTACGCGACCTCGCACCCGCTCGCCTTAGTTGGCGCCATAGCTGCGTCGCCCCTCCCCGGAAGGTGCTATTATGCGTTTGAGGGTGCTGCACACCGTTTCGAACGGTGTTTTTGGTATTTTGTCTTTGCTTTGCAAAAGCTGTTTAGCCTCTCTATATTGGTAATTTACAGATAGTTTTGTTCTGAATTGTGGTACATTGAATTCTTGCTTCTTGGTATGTTCTCTTTAGTTGATATTTCTAGTCGTTTTGAGTCAAACAATATTGAAATAAAGAGTTTTCTTTTTTTATTTCAAATCTTGAGCCGGTACCAGAGACCATGCAAAGTGGCAACGAAAAAGTTGTGGATCCCTTTCGTATGGACCATAACCGGATCGCCGATCGGCGGGACGATCTTGAAAACTGTTGCGCCGCAACTTGTGGCGCAGTTTGACACACAGCCAAAAATGGTGAATTTATTTGGGATCTTGGTAAAGCAACGCACTCTTTCTTGAGTCTCTCACGTTGAGAGTATCGCCGGCTGCAGTCACGACAGCGCTCTTCGACCTGGCTACGCCTTAGGTTTGCTTTCTGGTGTGCTGCTCTGCACAATCAATGGACACATATCGCCCCAATTGATACTGCTCGCACGATGGCAGCATTACCGCCGTCGGAAATCTGTGCATGGCCGGAGGGTTCACCTAGCCATGCACCACCAGTTATTTGGTGAGCTCACTATTGAATTTATTGGCTCCAACACAGCCCCTTGTTCCGCCTCAGCTCTCTGGGAACACCAAGATGGCCGACGTGAATAAGCAATGGAGCGGTTTAGCGCTATCTCCAGCATCCACCGAAACGCAGATGAAAGTTACGCCAACCACAACACCCCCGCAAAGTCGTTCAAGCCAGACATGGAGAACGGGGCGTTGCGTGAAGGAAAGCCACTCGAACTTCTGTCAGTCGAGTGCATCGGCCTACTGGCTCAGTACGCAGGTGTGGGTTTCCTAGCCGGTATCATTCCTGGTGTCATTTACCCCGTTCTCCAGGGATACCTTAATGCAGAGGGCACCACCGTGGTGTCTGCCACTGTGTTGGTGCAGATACCTTGGTGTTACAAGATGTTCTTCGGTGTCATCAGCGACTGCTTCCCGATCATGGGTTACCGTCGTCGTCCATACATGGTCCTAGGCTGGGTGTTCTGCGTCTCTATTCTCATCATTATGGCGGCAATGTCGATCCCTGACCCGTACTACGGGGACCCCGCGATGCACAGTATTGATGAAGCAGACTGGACCGATGACCAAATCGACAGTATTAACACAAATGCCCCAAACTCCGCTGGCAAATACGTTGTGCCCATGATGCTTGCGTCGTTTGGCTACCTGTTGTGTGAGGTTGCCGCTGATGCCATGGTCGTCGAGTACGCACAACGTGAGCCTATCGAACAACGCGGTCGTGTTCAAACTGCTGTTTACGCCGTCAAGACCTCGTTCACTGCCGTCGGCGCTGCTGTCATTGCATTCTTCATGAATGGAGAAGAATACGCCGGATCGTTCAGCTTCTCGCTCTCGTTCCAGGAGCTCATGTTGATCAGTGGAGTCATCTGCGCACCTCTCGTCATTATATCGTGGTTCTTGCTGCACGAAGACCGCGTGACGGGTAACTTGTCCTTCGGGGAGTACATGTCGTCGTTCTGGACGCTGCTTCAAAAGCGCGCTATCTACCAGATCGTGGCGTACAAGTTCTTCTCCGGTGTGTTCAACAGTTTTAACATCGTGTCTTCAAGTAACATCAAGCTATACTGGGTCCACGCTACGCCATTCAACAACAGCTTTATGACTATTGTGGGCACGGTATTCTACGCGATCACTCTGGCATTAACCGGCAAATACGGACTCGACTGGAATTGGCGTACTATCATTATTGTCACCATGTGTGGAGCTCTGTCCATTGATGCGTTCATGACCATGTTCACTGTCTGGGACATTGTTCGTAACCAATGGTTCTGGCTCGGTGTACCGATGATTGAATATCTTCCTGATGGAATCCGATTCATGATCGCCACGTATGTGGTGGTGGAGCTTGCCGAGCCTGGTCATGAAGGAGCTCTGTATGGGCTACTGACTGCAACGACGAACCTGACGACGCCGTTCGGTCGCTCCATGGCAAAACTCGTCAACGGTCAGTTCAACGTGTGGCTTAAGGACATCCAGGCCGACACGACAATGGTTCGTCGTGACGTGACCATTACGATCTGGATTTGCTACTGTATGAAGTTGTTGTCGCTGGCATTCCTACCTCTGCTTCCCCGGCAAAAGGCTGAGACTCAAGAGCTCAAACGGACAGGAGGTTCTAGCCGTGTCATGGGCATCGTCACTGTGAGTTATCTGGCTTTTGCAATTGTCTGGGCGACAATGGTGAACTTGTTGTCCATGTATACAAGCACAATGTGCTGGAAGATCACTGGCGGTTGTGCACCCAAGTCCTAGGCCCCATACTTCAGTGGTAGGAAATCTCGACGTGACATGTTTTGTCTTGTACTGTACGTGTACTTACAGCAACTTCGGGTGATGTGACTTCGGAGCGCAGCCTCCCGTGATGGCCCAGCACTTTGTCGCCGGGTTCATGCTCAATACGTTCACCATTGTCAGCCAAGCCAAGGCGAACATCAAGATCCCCACCATCCACATGCCCATACGTTTGCTCACACCTCCTTGACGACGGAGCGCTTGAGTGGCAGCTCTCTGGTTCGGCAGTAACGGTAAAAACATGAGCGACACCATCTTCATGCCGTAGCAGATCCAGATCGTAATGGTGACATCTCGACGAGTCTCGTACGTGTCCGCCAGGATATCGTCCTTCCACACGTGGAACCGAGCGTTGACGAACTTGGCAGCAGTGCGTCCGAACGGCGAGGAAACGTGGTTGGCGGTCGTTAAGAGCCCAAACAAGGCACCTTCCGAGCCTCTTTCAATCAGTTCAACCACAATATAGTTGCTAACAATGAAGCGCATAGCGTGAGGGACGTCTCCGATGACTGGTACGGTAAGCCAGAACCACTGACTGCGACAGACATCCCATGTAACCAATACAGTCATCATGCCGTCCGTAACTACTCCAAAGATGACGGTGGCGGCGATAGCAACGTGCCAGTTCCAGTGGAGACCACGCTGAGCCATCACCGCAAGAGTTCCAGCATACACGAACGTGCCAGCAATGGCCATGATGCTCGCGTTGAATGGCGTGGCGTGGACCCAGAATAGCTTGATGTTACTGGAAGACACGATGTTAAAGCTGTTGAAAACTCCGGAGAAGAACTTGTATGCCGCCACTTGGTACACTGCTCGCTTCTGCAAGATCCCCCAGAAGTTCGACATGTAAGCACTGAACTTTGGTGTCTGTACTTGGTCTTCGTACACGAGGAACCAAGCAGCAGGTCCAAGCGGTAGACAGAGACAACCTAGGATGAACATCATCTCTGGAAACGTGAGTGAGAAGTCGAAGGAGCCGCCATATTCGATGCCGTTGAACGCGACGGCCACTACAAGGGCGCCCAGTGCATTGAACCCCATACGAACACTGTGGATCCACGACTGAATGCGTCCACGAACATGCACCGATTCACGTTGTGCGTATTCGATCACCACAGCGTCGGCAGGTACCTCTACAAGTAGATACCCGAACGACGCCATCATCATAGGGATCACGTATTTTCCCGCGGCGTCGGGGGCGTCAGGGTTGATACTCTGACGTTGAGCTTCCGTCCATTGATCCGGACTGACGGAATGCATGGTTGGGTCCCCGTAGTACGGAGCTGCCTCGGAGAAGCTTGCAATCATGAAGAGCATACAGCAACAAAGCAGCCATCCCAACAACATGTAGGGTCGACGTCGAAAGCCTCCGAGTGGAAAGCAGTCGCTTAGAATTCCAAGAAACATCTTGTACGACCAGGGAAGCTGGACCAGCACCGTAGCGGACACGACGATAGTTCCCTCAGCATTTAGGTACCCTTGAAGCACTGGATAGATGACAGCAGGGAGGACGCCATTGACGAAACCAATTCCAGCGTATTGCATCAGTAATGCCAGCACCTCGGGAGACAGCAGTCGCGGCGGTGGTCCATCTCTCAGCACGTCGTCTTCGAGGTCGTTATCGCAAGTCTTGGGCGTCGTAGCTGGCGAGTCCGATGGCACAGCGCCATAGTTGATCGGGTCGATCTCCTCCTGGAGTACAAGTTGCTGGTGCTCGTCCGAAGCCCCCATTCTGCCACAAGAGGGACGCTAACCGTCGCCGGATAAATTATTTTGTGAGCACCAAGTCCACATCGTCAGCCGCAAGACAGCTTGCTCCTCTTCATGTACGGTATCTACAGTACTGTACCTTCCTGTACAGCTCTCTCTAGTTGTACAGAGTCTCCGACGGCGAGTGGACTGTCAATACGCCGCGGCTCACGCGTCGTGACCGTACGGCCAGTGGATTAAAATAATCGCGAGCGATTTGAATGCATTCGCCGTCGGAGCTCATCTCGAAAATCTCGAAACCGCAAGCTTCCGCCCGCAGCGCTCATCGCCTTCCTGTCCGACGACGGTAATCCCGCCACTTGCATAGTGCGTATGTTGCCGCCGCAAGTTGCGGCGCAAGCTTCGAGTTCCCGCTGCCAAGTTGCCATAAGCAAAGACCAACGTGGGATTTGTGCTGGACCACCCAATTGGTGACTGTCACTGACAGTCTGTCGGTGACCGCCCGAATTTATGGATCAGCAAACAACGTTTGTTTGCCAAACACGTTCAAGGTTGTCCGAAGAGTCTTCGCGTCTTCGGCGAAGACGCGGATCGCTGATCACTTAACCCAGTACAGACGATACACCGCCACACTGTTGTGGATATCCTATCCTGCCAGGATGTGACCCCACCACCAGGATTCCTGGTTGCTTGCGGCAACCTTTACCAGAATCGAAGCCTAGCTCATTACACAATTGTCCGGCTTCAAGCACAACGTTTCGTCTGGTCTGAAAAATGACAGTAACAGACGACACTGTCAAGGCGGTGCTGGAAGATCGACTTAGCCGGCTATCGGATCTCAGATCCACACAAAGTGAGGCTGCGTACTTGAATCTGGCATCTCCTGGCAAACCTGTCAACACGGAGCTTGAGAATGGTGCCCTGCGTGAGGGAAAGCCACTGCAGTTGTTATCCAAGGAATGCATCGGCCTACTGGCTCAGTACGCAGGTGTGGGTTTCCTAGCCGGTATCATCCCTGGTGTCATTTACCCCGTTCTCCAGGGATACCTCAACGCAGAGGGCACTATCGTTGTCTCCGCCACAGTATTGGTGCAGATTCCGTGGTGTTACAAAATGTTCTTTGGTGTCATCAGTGACTGCTTCCCTATCATGGGCTACCGTCGCCGTCCGTACATGGTGCTCGGCTGGGTATTCTGTGTTGTGATTCTTTTCATTATGGCGGCGATGTCCGTCCCCGACCCGTACTACGGAGACTCGTCGATGCACGACATCAACGAAGAAGACTGGACGGAAGAACAAATTGCCAGCATCAATGAGAACGCATCAAACTCTGCAGGCAAGTATGTGGTCCCCATGATGCTCGCATCATTCGGCTACTTACTGTGTGAAGTGGCTGCCGATGCCATGGTCGTCGAGTACGCACAACGTGAACCTATCGAGCAACGTGGTCGCGTACAGACCGCCGTATACGCCGTCAAGACCTCGTTCACAGCCGTCGGTGCCGCTGTCATTGCGTTCTTCATGAACGGAGAGGAATACGCCGGCAGCTTCGACTTCTCACTCACATTCCAGCAACTTATGTTGATCTCGGGTATTATCTGCGCTCCTCTGGTGTTCGTCTCGTGGTTCTTGCTGCACGAAGAACGCGTCAAAGTTAAACCGACGTTCGGAGAGTACATGTCGTCGTTCTGGGGTATGCTCCAGCAACGTGCTATTTACCAGATCGTGGCGTACAAGTTCTTCTCCGGAGTCTTCAATAGCTTCAACATCGTATCTTCCAGTAACATTAAGTTGTACTGGGTGCATGCTACGCCGTTCAACAACAGTGTGATGACAATTGTCGGTACCATTTTCTACGCCACAACGCTTGCTCTTACGGGTAAATATGGTCTGGACTGGAACTGGCGCTACATCATCATCATTACTATGTGCGGAGCCCTGTCGATCGATGCCTTTATGACTATGCTGACGGTCTGGGACGTTGTGCGCAACCAGTGGTTCTGGCTCGGTGTCCCCGTTATCGAGTATCTGCCGGATGGTATCCGCTTTATGATTGCTACCTACGTTGTCGTTGAGCTGGCTGAGGCTGGCCACGAAGGTGCTCTATACGGTCTGCTGACTGCAACGACGAATTTGACGACTCCGTTCGGTCGCTCCATGGCTAAGCTTGTCAATGCTCAGTTCCATGTGTGGCTCAAAGATATCCAAGCAGACACGTACATAGTCCGTCGTGACGTAACCATCACGATTTGGATCTGTTACGGGATGAAGCTCTTGTCGTTGGCGTTCCTGCCTCTGCTTCCTCGTCAGAAGGCGGAGACTCAAGAGCTGAAACGCACGGGCGGATCAAGCCGAGCTATGGGTATCATCACGGTTGGGTACCTCGCCTTCGCGATCGTCTGGGCAACTTTGGTGAACTTGTTGTCCATGTACGAGAGCACAATGTGCTGGAAAATTACTGGCGGATGTGCCCCGTCGTCTTAAGTACATGAAACGCAAAGTCCATCATAGGCATCTCTACTTCGTAATATATTGTGTGAAAGGCCTATCACCCTGTTGCAATAAAAGTAGCAGTATGCGGCATGTACAGCTTTGAATGATGCTAGGGTGGTAGACTAAAGAGATGGGATCCAAACAATGTTTGGCAAACAGGAAGTAAGTGGAGATGTAGGTTCTTGTATACTTCAAGCTTCAGCAAGGAAACCGGAAAACTATCGAATAACCTTGTCTAAATGATGCGCTTTCCGGATATAGTTTTAAATCCAATGCAACGCTATACAGTCATGTAATGGAGACCGTCGATTCCTCATGGTGGAAGGACGAGAAGTTGACAAATTTCGCTGCATACAAAAGACGAGCGGAAGCGATATTGGAAAGGAGTCTCATTGCCTCGACCTTCTCTTGCAGCGCCAGTTGGTGGCAGAATTAGTCACCAAGCTGCTTTGATTTGTAGCCTTACAGACCAGGAGAACCAGTGGGCGGCACACCGAAACCAACATGAAATTCCGCTTGCCTCCAGGCACGTTCCCCGAGCTAGATCTGGCCAAGGAAGACATGGATAACATGGAAAATGTGGCCGCTATGATTGTCGACTCGGCAATCGAAGACTTTGAGCAGCTCCGACTGGACAACAACGGGTTCGCGCACACGCGGTGGAAGCCCATCAAGCGCAAGGCCGGCGTTGTCCTATACGAGGACCGGTCAATGTGTGAGAGTATCAAGAGAGAATCATCGCTGTCAGAGATGCCACAGCCGTGCGGGATCCATCCACTCATGGCCCACGGAACCACTAGAGGTGAGCTGAACGAGCTCATGTTCGGACTACTAAACTCAACTCGAGAGGAGATGTTGGCCAAGTCGGCGTGCACAGGAGACTACTTGACAGATTGTGCCGAGCTGGCGTCGATCATTTCACCGACACCGAGCAACCCGTTGAGATCGTTGCAAGTCAAGTGGTCACTCATAGGCAGAGGACCAATGTTTGTCAGCGTTGTGATTCGACCACGGGACTTCGTGTATCTTGAGTCGACGGGGATCGCACTCGACAGCCAAGGACAGCACATTGGATACAATCTACGTCATTCCGTTGAAGTTCCGGGTGTGCGTGAGCTCCACGATCATCAAATCGTGCGCGCGAACATTTCGTTCTGCAGACTATTTCGTCAGAAACGTGAAGGCCTCATCGAAATTTTCATGACCGGCTGCGTCGATGCGATGGGCTATCAATACCCGATTTACACGAGCGTTGTCATGATGCAGATAGCTGACGCGCTGCTCTCTTTTCAGCGACTTCTAGTCAATGCAAGGATGAAGAAGCTGGCCTGGATGTTGAACAACATGAGACAAACCAGTGATTCCGCTAAAAAGCCCACGAATGCGTGCAGTTCGTGTGGTGGTAACCTGGGCAGTGCGATCTTATACGGACGCAGGGAGTGCAAGATCTGCAGCAATGTCGTGTGTCCGCATTGCCGCGTGCCGTTGAAGGTCGCCTGGAAACCTCGCGACGACCCAAACATGTTCACAGATGAGAAGAAAACGGCAGTCTTGACGAGGTTTGAGAAGGCCTTAGTGTGTCGCCCCTGTCTCCGGAACGCGGAGCGGACAGACGCTCTGGACGTGGCCATCGACGAGATCCGACGCACGTCGCCTCTGCTGGCAGCCGAGTCCGGTCTGGCCGTCACTTCTGCTTCGTCGCTCTTCTCGCTTTATAACTCGGACCAGTTCGACAACGACTTCTTCTTCCACTCGTATTAATATTAAGTATCGAGGCGGGCTGTCGCTGTAGCTGTCCATAATAAACTTATACAAAAACTTATTCTTCTCGCACTTTCTTATCCCTTCACGTCCAGACTCCACTTCAATCACGTCGGCACCTGAATGGAAAAACGACGTGAAGTAATTCAGCCAATCAGCGACTGCCATTTTACAAGTAAAGCGTCGTAAGATCTCACTTCGGATTTTGCCGCAAAAGGCTCAATTCTGTGCCCCATCATGCTCGCCAACCACCGCACTTTCCTTACTATGGGTACTCGCGCTTCGCGCTCTCTCTCGACTGCCGCCAAGCGCGCGGTGGTTGTGGACGGCGTGCGTCTGCCGTTCGCCAAGTCCGGCACCGTCTACAAGGACGTGATCGCGTATGACATGATGCGCGACGCCTTCAAGGGGCTCATTAACAAGACTGGCATCGACCCTAAGAGCATTGACTACGTGCTGGCTGGTACTGTGATTCAGGAGGTCGGTACATCCAACATAGCACGCGAAGCGGCGCTGGGAGCAGGCATCCCCAAGCACGTTCCGGCGCACACAGTCACGCAGGCCTGCATCTCTTCCAGCCAAGCTATCTGCTCCGGCGCTGAAAAGATCCTATCAGGACACGCTGATATTGTGCTGGCTGGAGGCGTTGAGACGTTCTCGGATGTGCCTATCCGCTTCTCGAAACCCATCCGAGAGCGACTTATTAATGCCCCCAAGGCAATGAAGAAGGGCCCCTTGGCAGCGCTGAAGTTGCTTCAAGGACTGAATTTCTCGGACCTTGCACCCGTCGCTCCAGCTATCCAGAACTTTCACACTAGGGAGATCATGGGCTCATCGAGTGACCGTCTTGCCACCAGGTTTGGAGTCACGAGACAGGAGATGGACCAGTACACGATTGATGCACACCAGAAGGCCTACAGAGCTCACGTGGAGGGTAAATACAAAGGAGAGATCTTGTCCTACAAGGGCAGCACCGAGGAGAACGGAGTGAACCCGAATTCGACGCTCGAAAAGATTTCAACACTGAAGCCAGCCTTTATTAAGCCGCACGGAACCCACACAGCGGCCAACTCATCGTTCTTGACTGACGGAGCTGCTGCTACGCTGATCATGTCGGAGGAGAAGGCTCTGGAACTTGGATACACGCCCAAGTCGGTGCTCAAGGATTGGTTATTCGTCGGTGTGGACCCGTTCGAGTCATTGCTGCTGGGCCCCGCCTACGGTATCAAGCGGATCCTGGAGCAGAACAAGCTGAAGTTAAGCGACATCGACTACTTTGAGATCCACGAGGCTTTCGCTGGACAAGTGCTGGCCAATTTGAACGCGTTGGCTGAACCCAAGTACTGCAAGGAGCTGTTCGGGATGGACCAAGCTGTCGGACGCGTGCCATCGGAAAAGTTGAACACGTGGGGCGGATCTCTGTCACTCGGACACCCGTTCGGGGCTACCGGCAGCAGATTAGTGAACACGGCATCCAACAAACTGCAGAAAGAAGGCGGCAAGTACGCGCTTCTGGCAGCCTGTGCAGACAGCGGACTCGCCTACGTCGGCTTGATCGAGAACTACAAGAAGTAGGTTGACGGCGCGGAAGAAACGCCCCGCACTTGTTAACATCAACCTCGAGCTTGTAACCTTAACGATCCATACAAGTTTGGAAAGAACGAACACTGCAAAGAAGCACGCGTTTTAAGAAGATATATGATTGCAAAGGATCTATAGTTATAAACGGCAATTAGACGAGCAGCACGGCGTTGATGCAGCCGTCGTTCTCGGGCACGTTCGTGATCTGGGCGTACTTGCCCCACACAACCTTGCCGGACGTGGTTACCAGGCCAAGCTCGCTAACGTTCACTTCGATGATCGTACCCTTGGTCATGACACCGAGTTGCGTGTACAGCGGGCTCTGTGGGTTCTTCTTGACGCCAAGGATGTCCAGCTGGAAGGTCGTCTTGAGCTCAGGGTGCGTAACATGAGCCTTCTTGAAGCGCATGGCACTAGGACGGATGAATCGCTCGTACTTTGGCGGCTTACGCGTGAAGTTCTCGCCCACGAACGTGGCCTTGGTGATCATACGCTTCCACGCCTTGTTGCGACGTTTGCCAGAGCGAAGCACCTTAAACATCTCGTCATCGGCAATGGGCTTGACCTTGGGGATCGGCACATCCCACTTACCAGCCTTCTCTTTCCGTTTCTGCTTCACAGTGTTACTCAGCACCTTAGCACGAGAGACGCCTTCACGGTCCAACAGATAAGAAGGCACAGCGCCGTCTGGGATCTCGTCGTCGTTAGCGTGCTTGTTCGTACGCTCATTGTGCAGCGCCAGCGTCTTCTTCATCGCGGCCTTCTCCTTGAAACGCTTCTGGTTGTATAGCTTGGCACGCAGGCCGTGCACCTTCTGGGCGAATTGTGAGCGGCGATGCACCTCACGCGCTTCTTTCTTGCGCTTCTTCTCAGCGGCATCCATGCGCACGCCGTGGCGCTTGCGGTGCATCTCCATATGCTCATGCTGCGGCATCTTGGCTGACTACTACGCGGCTGCGGAGGCTCTCAAAATACGTCCTCTTCCTTGCTGCCTCGTGGGTCCGTTCGGAGCTGAACGTCGTGCGCTGCTTGTCGGAAATTGCAAGACTGGTCACCGCCAGTCAAACAGATCGCACTTTAGAGGGAATGTCTTCTTCTAAACTACATTCAAGCGACATCACTTCTGAGTCTGATGCGCTGTAGACGTGGGATCAGTTGACCTGCCTCAACTTGAGGCTCGCGTGTGTCATTCCCCAAAGCTGCTTGGAGTGTGCCGACGTCTGACCATGTTGCGGAAGGTGGCACAGCGTGCGGTACAGACCCGAGCAATCTCCAGTCGGTTCTTCGCGTCGAGAGCCAAGTCGACCTTCGCCGTGGCGGACAACAGCGAGCCGTTCAACCCTTTCGAAGTGCAGCCTGGTTGTTTGCAGCCTGGTGCGTGACTAGTCACCAGATCCTTTGGCCCATGATACGAAATGCTAACGCTAATCGATTTCTTAACCAGGTCTGCCAGCTACGGAGTTCCTAGAACGTCGGAAGAAACTGTTCGCGTCGATGCCCGACAACTCTGCGCTCATCGCAAATGCGGCCGAAGTCAAGTACATGACGCACGACATTCCGTGGGAGTTTCACCAGAACAGCAACTTCATGTACCTCACAGGACTCGAGGAACCCGACGCCCACGCGGTGCTGCTCAAGAGCCAGAACAAGTGCTCGTTCGTGCTCTTTGTGCGTCCGCGAGATCCGCACAGGTGTGTCATGGACTATCGAACACGAGGATTATTTTCCGCGAGACTGATGACGCTGGTTGTATGATACAGTGAACAATGGGATGGCGCCCGTGTCGGTCTGGATGGAGCCAAGCACCGGTATTTGGCGGACGACGCCTTCCAGCTGACGGATCTTTCTCCAGCCATGCACAAGCTGCTCTCTAGCGTGGATAAAGTCTTCGTACTGAAGCCTGACGGGGGTAGATACTCGCCGACTTTCGTGGATGCGACTAAGACTTTCCACAGCAAGTTCTTCGCTGGCGACTTCTTGGTCGAGCAGCTCCGTGTGGTCAAGTCGGAGAATGAACTCAACCGCATGCGGTTTGCCGCAGACATCGGTGCGCAGGGATTCATTGACATGATGAAGAACACCCGGCCTGGGATGTCAGAGCTAGCGTTGGGATCGACATTCGAGGGGTCAATCAAGAAGAATGGCGCGCTGTGGAACGCGTTCCCAAATGTTGTGGGATCGGGAGCGAATGCTGCGGTGGTTCACTACTTGTCGAAGCGAGATTTGCTCCGCGAGAACGATTTGGTGCTAGTTGACTCGGGATGTGAGGTTGCTGGCGGCTATGCTAGTGATATTACGCGCACGTGGCCTGTGGGTGGAAAGCTTTCGTCGGGACAGGAACTGATGTATGAGTTCGTGCTGGATGTCCAGAAGAAGTGCTTGGAGCACTTGAAAACCATGATCGAGAGCAAGGAGCCTATCACCTTGAACGAGTTGCACGACTATTCCGTGGATATCATGATGAAGCGGATGCTGGAGTTTGGAATCTTGAAAAACAAGAGTGGGCCATTAGCTCGCTCTGCGATTCGCGAGTTCCAAAAGTACAATCCGACACACGTCGGTCACTATTTGGGCTTGGATACGCACGATACGCCACACGTCACGCGCAGTGCGCCGTTAGTTCCAGGTATGGTGGTGACTGTGGAGCCGGGTATTTACTTGCCGAAGAACGACTTCGACTTGCCTGAAGAGCTCCGTGGTATTGGTATTCGTATTGAAGATGATGTGGTGGTATGTTACGCTTCCAAGTCCTGTTTGCTTTGCTCACATCTTAACGTTATTTGTGTGTACCTATCTGGTATGTAGATTACAGATTCTGGTATTGAGATTACGACCACTAAGGTGCCCAAGGAGTTGCAGGCGATGGAGGCATTGCGCTACGAGTAGACCTGGTTATCTCAATGCCCCTAACAATAATAAATCGCACTTGCTCAAGAGTTTTGAGCTAAGACCTAACATACTACATTCTTCTCGTTTTGAAGGAATAGACACATACAAGCTCGATGAATCTCAAAGTATCACGTTTTCTTCTGTAGGTGCTCCATCGTTTGCGTGTTTTTCAAAAATTACGATCCGATTTGCTCCATTCCCTTAATACAGTGTAGTAGTGCTCGTTGAAAGCCTCGTACTCATGTCTGTAGAAGCAGATAATTTACATTTAATGTGAGTGATACGCCGCTCAAAGTGTGCAGTACTTTGATCACTAACGTACCGGAGTTGAGCGATTGTTGTTGCCCGTTCAATCCTAGACAAGCGGTAAAGCACAGACTGCTCTCCTTTCGGTGCAGATATCGGTGCTCCATCTTTGCTCTACGAGAAACAAGCAGTACAAGTCACACACCTTCATTCGACCCAGTTGCAAAATTAAACGATACCTGGTTGTTTTGGCTTCGCTCAGCCGAAGAGCCGTCACGTAGAGTATCTGCTTCTGGTTCCTGCTGCGCACGACTGCGCTTGCGAGAGCGAACTCGACTACGTGGACGTTGCTCGCTTTCTGATTCTGGCTCTGGCGGCGGTCGGGCAATGGCTGCATGTGGCTGTACTCTCGTCTGTGCAAATGCTTCGTCGATGCGCACTGTCGTTATATTAGATGCCTTTGCAGCAGAGACCTCCGTAGTAGACTTCGCTTTGACAACCACACAGCGCAATCGGGAGTCATCCTTCTCCAGCGGCGCTAGAATCAGAAGCCGACCATCTGCAAGTATCACCACCCCAGCCTGATCCAGGCAATCGCACACTGCAAGTCAACACGGTTATCGCTAGACCAACCTCATCGCAACCAGCTCACCCGTTGTCGGTCTTTCAGGTACTTAGCAAACTTCTGGAATGGAGCAGTGTCACCATGCGTCGCTGGCACGACAACCGTCTGTGGAGGCTACATAAAGCAGTAAAAGTCTTAAGATCTTCGTAACCCGTGCTTCCATACATTAAGTTAAGCAGCCCAACGTTGCATTACATGCTCTCTGCAGCAAGCAATTAGTTTGTCCAGTTCGGCGTAGTCCATGCGCTTGACCACGTCCACGGCATCAAGCCTACCATCCACAAGTCATCCACACAGTCAGCACTTTTATACTCGTCACTCAAATGCAGCGTTTGCCCTGCTACTTTTATTCTGCAGCGATGAAAATCTGCCATCCCGAAGAATTACAAGCCTCAACTTGCGCGTACTATTCTACCTACTCAACCACAATTTCCGCTGTTAAAAACTTACCGAAGAGCTTCTAGCTCGTTTATATCTACCGTTGGATACGGCTGTAACGGTGCCGCATCCGTAGGGGCCACGCAGTCAAAGAGGTACTTGGACGACTTGTACACGGTGAACGCCACCATTATTGCTGTCAAACTGGACAAAGGGGTACGGCGTAAGTGTACCCCAAACGTACCCTTTTCTGTTGTTGCGTTTTAGCCAATCGCATTATCTCCCGCTGTAAAGTACGTCACTATTGAACTTGGAGGGAAGATGCCACCGGCGCCGCGCATCCAGCGCTTGAGCCCGGACGTGGTGAACCGCATCGCAGCTGGAGAAGTGGTGCATCGTCCTGCAAATGCAGTAAAGGAATTGCTGGAGAATTCGCTGGATGCAGGGGCCACAAACGTGGCGGTTGCTGTGAGTCAAGGAGGTCTGAAGCTCCTGCAGATCCAAGACAACGGACGAGGCATCCAACGGCAAGATCTGGAGATCGTCTGCGAACGCTTCACCACCAGCAAACTAAAGAGCTTTGAGGATCTGAAGGATATTAAGAGTTTTGGCTTCCGAGGTGAAGCACTCGCCAGTATCTCGCACGTTGCTCATGTATCCATCACATCCCGGACAGCAGACCAGCCCTGCGCTTACAAGTGAGTAAGAAGCCAATGGAAACAAACATTACGATGACGATAATGACATTGGTGAGTGAACAACTGCTGTAGGGCTTCGTACCGCGACGGGAAGTTGGTGTCAAAGAGACCTGGAGAGTCCAATGATCCCAAGCCGTGCGCAGGAAAGAATGGCACGCAAATTGTGGTGCGTTTAGAGTACAAACGCCAAGCCATTGCATTCAGGAGACGCTAATAGGGTGTATGCTTTGCAGGTGGAGGATCTGTTCTACAACTTGAGTACGAGGAAACAGGCGCTGAAGAACACATCGGAGCAGTACACCCGTATCTTGGATGTGGTGCAGAAGTATGCTATTCACTTTGGTGCGAAAGGAGTGGGGTTCGTATGCAAGAAGGTGAATATATTGCCGTTGACTTTAGGATATCTGCGCTGGTCTGACTGCTCGTGCTCTCCAGCATCGTGAATCTTCTTGTGGTGTCAACACGACCCAAAGCTCCTCGCAGTTAGATGCGATTCGCACCATCTACGGCAGTAAACTTGCTAGTGAGCTAAATCCATTCGAACACGTCAGAGATGCGACAGCTGCTGGCTCGATGGATCTCCAGCGCCAAGTCCGTGGATACATCAGCAACGCCAACTATCAGTACCTTCCGCCTTTTCTCTGGTTATCAAATTTGGTGCAATTTTCTAACCTGAGCTCGTAAATTGTGTTGCAGTTTGAAGAAAAGCAACTTTATCCTCTTTATTAACGATCGCCTCGTCGAGTGTCCATCACTGAAGCGAGCCTGTGAGTACGTGTACTCGCTGTATTTACCCAAGAACACACACCCGTTTATCTATCTGAGCATGGAGCTCCCACCTCGCAACATCGATGTGAACGTCCACCCGACAAAACGAGAGGTGCGTACAGAAGATATTGATGGGATTCACGGTTTGTTGGTACTAACGATCCTACACGTAGGTGCACTTCTTACATGAGGAAGATATCGTCGACTCGATCAGCCAAGCAATCGAGAAGCAACTCAAAGGAAGCAACGAGAGTCGCAGTTTCTCCGTCCAGCCGATCACCGCAATATTGGGAGTTTCCAATGGAGATACATCGGCAAAGCAGCGCAGACGTGAAAGTGTCATGGAAGAAGAAAAGAAGCAGGAAGAAGCAGAATCAAGCGATGAAGATATGGACAAGCGTGAGACTGAAAGTGAAGACGAAGCCGACAGATCTGCCGACTCGATTGAGATTGACCTCAGCCAAAAACCCACTCCACCTTCTAAGAAGTACCATCCGGCACTGGTACGTCCCTGCTTTTACGTACCGCGGCTTGTGTTCACTGGCTTACTCTTCTTGCTCTGGGTCTGTTGGACAGGCACCACAGCGCTTGGTGCGAACCGACCCTCGCTCCAACACCATCGACAAGTATCTCTTCTTCGAGTCACAGAGAACCCAGTTATCGCAGTCAAGTTCCCAGGACACTACAGAAGACCGGGAGGTTAGCCCTGATCGAACATCTAAACGAGAAGACTCTGTGGAAAGCGACACCAATGCGACGTCAAATTTTCCTCGTAAGCGGAAACTGTCGATGCTTCAATCCAGTCAAGGTACGAACTTGAGAACCCAGAAGTGTTCACTTGGAGACCTTTGTAACTTGATGGGCTCTATTGCTCTTTAGAACCCGAGCCAGAGGGCGAAGATGTTCGTCGAGGAAGTCTGGAAGCTACTCAGAGTCCACAAATGCTATCGAGTGTCCAGAACTTGCTGAGCTTGATGCGGCAAAAGAAGAACAAGGCTCTTGACAGGGTAAGAGTGGCTTCTTGTGATACTTGAGGACGTTCGATTGACCTTGTTGCGTATTGTTATGCAGCTCTTTCGTGAGCACAGCTTCGTGGGCGTCGTTGACAAAAAGTTCTCGCTGGTCCAGTACCGCACGAAGCTGTACATTGTTCGGCACGACGAGATCGCCTTTCACGTGTTCTATCAACAAGTCTTGCTGCAATTCGGCGAAACGCGGCCGATTACTCTGCAGACCCCGTTTCCGATCTACGACCTGGTGCTAGAGGCACTCAAGAACCCCCGAAACGGCTATGACGAAGAGGATGGACCCAGAGAGCAGCTCGCGGACGAGATCAAGACTCTACTGATCGCCAATGGCCCCATGTTGTTCGAGTACTTTGCGCTTGATATCGACTCGCGGGGCATGCTACGGACGTTACCGCAGCTGCTACCAGACCACGAACCGTCCATTCATTCACTGCCAGAGTTTGTGTTCCGCTTGGCCACTGAAGTCAATTGGGAGGAAGAGGAGCCGTGCTTTGAGAGCGTCGCGCATGCCCTTGCTCGCTGGTACGGTGAGATGCGGTATCCTGGCAATACCGAGCGTGAAGCCTTGGTACTGGAGCATGTGCTGTTCCCTGCAACAAAAGCTGCAACGTTCTGTCCGCCCAATGAACTGAACGACACACAACTCCTCACACCCGTGGCCTGCCTCACCAATCTCTACAAAATTTTCGAGCGATGCTGATAAGTTGCGATGATAACATCTTGCACACGTCACAGATTCAGGATGGTATGGACCAAAAGATAATTTGACAGCGTCCATTGCCAGCCACGTAGAAGCACCCCATGGTGGAGTGTCCCTAGCATTTAACACGTCAATTTTAAGTGGCTACATTCCGTTGCTACCAAGTCCTTGCACATTGTGGTCACCCGATAATAAACAAAATACGCCATCATTTCCATACACTGCACTTGTTCTAATTAAGACGAGGTCTCCCCAGAAACTCAACTCGACGAAAAACAGCGAGACGCCGCTTGGCGCGTCATCAGGTGCCTTCCCCCTGTGCTCCCTCACTCCCCTTCGGCTCCGAGAGCGATGAACGGCAACAAGACGCACTCGGTGCACTTCGACCCGTCGGTATGCGCAGACCCGGACAGTGGGCGCTCCACTGCGTCGACGACCGCTTCTTTCTCAGCGGTCCCTGGTAATAATAACGCAGCCCCCGCAGCCCCCCCTGCCAAACGAAATAGTGTTGTGCGCAAGATCATGCTACAGACGATTGGAGAGCAATACGAGGATACGTCGTTACCCGCTGTACAGAGCTTTGTGGCCAGTGTGGAGAACTACTGTGCCAGTACCGAGAGTTTGGCCAGTTTAGGTAAGTCACTGTACACGTCACCGGCTTTGGTGTTCGTGGTGGACGAGGTGATGCGTGTCATTCTGTGGAATGACTGCGCAGTTAAGCTCTGCGGCTACTCGAGAGAGGAGATGGCAGGTCGAAACCTGCTCAAGGAGCTGCCATATCTTGTCCCCCCCGCTACAGCCCAAGTGCTGTCTGATGCATTGGCTCATTGTGTGCGAGGGTCTCCCGTGACTAGTGTGATGCTGGAACTTGTTGCTCGAGATCAGAGCAAGGTTACGTTACTCGGATCGTGTACCCCTTTGGTGGGTAACCCGATTGGGGCGGGTATGCTCGTGGTGGCTCAAGATCTGACCCATTTGCCATTCGCTATGGTGGACAAGAAGCCACTAGCCGAGACCCCAGCAGTGCTGGATCAGACACAAGGAACTCGTACGTTGAGTTATTGCTGTGTTTGGTGGCTAAAAGATAAAGGACTAAGTTTTTTATATTATTTTTAATATTTTATAGCTTCAGAGACACCGCCAGTCGCTGCAACGAATGCTCCAGCTCCACCTGCACCGGTTGCAGTACAGAACGCTGCTCCAGCTCCACCTTCGGTGCCTGCTACAGTGGCGTCCAACGCGTCGACGATCCCTGGATGGAGTGAGATTGCGCCACATTATTCGATTGAGTGTGTGCTTGGACAGGGAAGCTACGGCCAAGTGGTGCGTTGCAAGCACCTGCCGACGGGAGAGATTGTGGCAATTAAGAAGATCCAGAACGTATTCTCAGACCCCATCGACGCCAAGCGGATCCTCCGTGAGTTGTGCATCCTGCGGCAACTACGACATCCAAACATTGTCCAGATTCGTGAGATCATTGCGCCGCTCGACATGGACCGCTTTCAAGACCTTTTCGTCGTGTTCGAGTACTTGCCGTCTGATCTAGAGAAGCTGCTCCATTCGCCACAATTCCTTACCGCCGAACACTTGCGATGGCTACTGTTGGATCTGCTGAAGGCACTGAAGTACATGCACTCGGCGGAGATCGTGCACCGTGACTTGAAGCCAGCCAATGTGTTATTGAACCTGTCACCTGTAGCCATCAAGATCTGTGACTTTGGATTGGCTCGTGGCCTTTCATCATCGGCCTCCACTACAGGACGCAAGCGGAAGCGGTTGGGCGATGGATCCACGCCAGACGAGAGCACATTGCAAGGGGCAGGGGTACACCCGCGTACCCCTGCTCGTCGGATCCAGCGCCAATTGACAGAACACGTGGTTACACGGTGGTACCGTGCACCTGAGATTATTTTCCGTGATCACGACTATTCTGCTGCGATCGACGTGTGGTCGGTACGTTGACATCTCGGTGGCTTTATGTTGATTTTACGGAACTAATCTGTGGTCTATACTGTAGGTCGGATGCATCTTTGCTGAGCTACTGAGCATGCAGAAGAGCAGTGTGCCGTCACACTACCAGCGCGAGCCTCTTTTCCCTGGCGTCTCATGTTTCCCTCTGAGTCCTGGTGCTGGCCAGGTAGCGCTGCCACAAGATAGCCGAGATCAGTTGAACACGATCCTAGACGTTCTGGGCACGATGGAGGAAGATGACATTGCTGAAATTGCAGACCCTGACGTGCAGTTCTACTTGCGTAGTTTGCCACCTCGACCGAGACGCAATTTGCAGGAAATGTACCCTGGAGCTGAGCCTGAGGCTATTGATCTGCTCACTTGGATGCTCAAGATGAACCCAAGCAAGCGTGCTACGCTAGACGAGGCACTGTCCCACAAGTACTTGGCCAGTATTCGATCGCTGGAAGAGGAAATTGTGGCACCTGGAACGATCCAGCTCGAGTTCGACGAGAAAAAGATGAATGTGACGGAGATCCGCCAACGAATGATGACCGAGATTCGATTCTATCACCCCAACGCAGGCACCAAGACAGCAACGAAAGCTTCCGCTAGGGGAGCACAGCCAAACGGAGTCATTAGCAAGAAGGCGAAGCAAGGCTGAGGACCATTAGCATGTAGTACTTGACAGACATACTAAACAAAGAAATTAGTTTACTTCGTGTTAGATTTTAATTGTGTATCTAAATGGTCACATTTCATACGACCTTGGCAGCATTCGACAACCGATACGCGTTGAATCGCAAGATGAGAGGGCTATAAAGATTGAATGTTTCTAAATTGCGCGACAATCTTTCGATCACCCGCATTGCAATGGCTTCATCCACATTCCACAGCTTGAACAACTCCTTCATCTTCTTATTATCTTGGAGGGCGGCGTTCAGATTCTTTGGACTTACCAAGGCGTCCACTCGGGCAGCACTTCGTGCCACCTCCATTCGGTATCCGTTGTACGGTAGGACGAAGCGAACTAACGTTGTCTCCTTCATCGATAGCCTCGCGATGACTTGTTTGGAGATGATAGGGTCTGCATTCCATTGCCTAAATAAAGCCTTCATTGTAGTTATATCCTTCATCGCTGCCTTTAGCTTCGCTGGATTAACCAATTCATCAACTTTCGAAGCAATAGCGCTCCTCATCCTCCCTTCGTCGCGTGTAACCTTGTGGGCGCTGAGAAATCGACTCTCCGTCTCGATTGGCCTTAAGAGGTTCGCGGGATCTACTCCATCCGTAGATGCTTTCACTGATGTAGCCACGCTGCTTCCGACAAGGAGAGCAGCAACTATCAGGACAGTGTTGCCTACGCGCATCGAGTGTGAACTGAATCTCTTGGGCTTGATTTTGGAGGCAAATCGCAAAATTCATCTTTTGAACTGCTTGTGTTCGAGTCGTACAGTACTAATTTTAGAAACGGCATGCTTGGCGTCCGGGTATTTCTAAACAGGTGTTATCCAGATCTCACAACAGGTTTTGTCCAGAATGGAATTTATTTTTTTCCGAAAAATTCACTTTTCCTCACAACCACCGATTGGGAGAACAAGCCACGCGACAGCTCCCTGACCCCGCGAGTGCTGTCTCCCTTCCCCCCTCGCCATGACACGGACCCACAAGACTGCCATGATTAAAGCACAGATGGCGGAGAAGGTTCGCCTCGAAGAAGAGGAAGCACGCCGGCGAAACGAGACTCAGGTTAACGGCTGCTGAATTTGCAATTAGTACTTGAAGTAGTTGTTTTCAGCTCAAGCGAGCGCTCAAGTACTCAAGCCCCATTACCAGGATGTCTTCAAGATCCGACGACTTTGTTGGTTCCCAATTCAACATAGTCCAAAGTAAGACTGAATTCCCCTGACGCATTTGGATGATGAAGATTCAACTTGATCGCCACTATTATAATTGTCACCTCTTTGCAATTACGTGGAGGATACATGAAGTAGAGGCTAACCAACATTCTTCTTCAATACAGTCGAGATTGCTGTGGCTTATCGGCCCCACGAACAACGGCACAAGTGAAAATCGCTGGATTCGGATATAATCCTGAAGTTGCGAGTGAACCTCAGTGTACAAATCTGCCCGATGCATGACCATGTTTGTCTCTTCCAAAAGTTCAGTTAGGATATCCGCAGCCTCTTGGAGGGGAAAGGGCGTATTGACGACCCCCTTGGAACGGCAGCAGCAGAAGACGATGTCGGGGACCACTTCGTCCTGCTCTAACAATTCGATCAGATACAGAACAAGATAATAAGGCCGTCAAAACGGGCCTCATCAAACAGACTTACCTGATGGTTGCGCAGATATGCACCCACACGACCGTGGAGACGAGCGTTGGCTTTGCGCTTGACGTTCAGTCGGAGGTCGATGGGGTTACCCGTTTCAGTGAGCTCAAAAAGGAGCCCTGTCGCTCCGGCCACCGCTCTAGTTACGTACTTCTCCTGGCATGAATCGAATGTCGTGCGCTCCTTCCTCCTGCATCGGATTAACCGTCAGCGCGGAGCCATGGACCTTGTTCTCTTTGGCGGGGGCCGTGGTCACGGTTCTCCAGTCCGTTTATCTGACCAACGAGCTCTCGATGAAGCCGCATGAGCTCGGTCATGAGCGCCTCAAGATTGTTTAGAATAAACATCTTCTCGGTGTGATGTGCCGTAGTAAGGTTGGCAATATCGCGATCTCTACGCTCAATGCTAGCCGTAAGGCATTCGATGTTGCGATTGGCGGCGCGCAGTTCGCGTCTCAAGGACTGGTTCTCGGCTTTGAGGACGCCCACGGACATTGGGGTGGGCGTCCGGACGCGATTTTTTTTAAGTGAGCGGAGGGGGACTGGGAGCTGGCTCTAAGCTACTAACCGGATTGTGAAGGGTATTTTTTATTAGGAGGTCATCTGTTTGAAATTATTTACGACCTCCGCTCAGCGCTCCGCCTCGTTCATTTGAGCGTTTATTAATTTGTGAGAGGCTGGCTAGCTAGCTTTATGAACGAGAGCTGACAGTGAGAAACAAAGCAAGGCACAGGCGTTCATGCTCCGCCGTGCAACAACAGATACAAAAACGGATCTAAGACGGCAACTACATCGCCACATTCTGAAGGGGCGCTCAGTGGGGCTTCTGGAACTTCAGCGGTAGGCGGTGGGGGGGCTGCTCGCTGCAAGAAGCAGCATGTACGCGTTAGCATTGGCGAGTGAGATAGCGTCACAAGGCAGTGACGTAGGGAGAGTGCCAGCTCGTACTTGCTTGTCCTTGTGTCGGAGGCGCGCCAACTTGTGCGTGGGTGTAAGTAGTGGACGGGTCTGTCCGAGCGCACGCCGTATGTAGCCTTCCTTGATCAGCTGCTGAACCAGGTAGCAGCTCATGTTGGACGCGCGCTGAAGCAGACGCTGGTTTTCGCGCTCATTGACAGGAACTGCAGCGATTCTCTCGCACAGCTCAGCTCGATCCACCTTCTTCCTATTAATACCACATGCGCTCTTCCTTGACTTGACCACGGCTGCTACTCGATCTCCCATCGAATTGATTCCACGCCTCCAAATTCGTTCGACAACTTGGCGGCCCACACGGAAGTACGCTGCAACCCGAACGATCTTTCCATGTTTGAGCACTCCTCCCACGCTGCGAAGCAGTAAGGTATCCCAGACGGCCTGGCGCTCACTGTCTGTGATCTTCCCCAGGTCCCAGCTTTCAAAATGAAAGGGAGCCAGTCTGGTCGGGAAAGCGCGGGAGATTCGAAATCCAAAAAGTGATCGGCATAGAGGGGGTATTTTGTTGGGTAAGCTGTAATATAATTTGAAATGGTTATCTTTTTCCGAGCGATAACAACGAGCCAGACATTGTTTTATGATGCTTGGCGCGTCCAATTTTTGTGGAATTTTGCAGGCTTTTCTATCGGTTTCAAACACCAGTCTCAGCTTGATAACGACTCCTTAAATTACTAAGACATCCTCTATTCAGTACCATACAGAACATTTTTCGGGATTGAAAGGGTTAATGCAGTAATCGCGTTTTTTATTGTGTATTCCGACCGTTTTGGTTCAATTCAACGAGTCTATCGCATACAAATTCCTGTTTTTAACGGCGTTATAAATCTCATTAAGATTTTAATTAAAAGGAATACATGTAAATTTCTAACGATCGTTATTAGACTTTAAAGTTAGTTAAAAGTAGTGATGCGGCGTGTAGCAACAAACGTCGGGCGTGTGGAAAGGCGACCGACACTATAACTTATTCCCAGCGCATTCGACAAATGCTATAGGCACTTCGTTTGCACCCATGCCTGGAAACCCTCTAGTCGGCCCAAGGGAAAAAGAAAGAGCTATGTCGCTAAGTCTACGCAGTGCGACGCTCAGTTATAAGTTGCAGTTTTTTTTGGGAGCACATGACTTACCATACTATTCAAGATCTGAAATTAACTCTGTATCAGCGTACGTCTGCGGTAGTATCAGGAACCGTGTTGACACGAAGGTACGTATACTATGATATGATACTTGTTATAAATGTCATTTTGACCATGATGCTCTTTACATTTACTTTGACACCTATCGCTGTGCGTGTACCTTTATACGGACTGAATTGCTGCCTTATTGTCATGTGAATGTTTGGTATATGATTGCAAACGAGAGCCCGCTTCCGATAAAGCAAGTACATTCACCCGCGTCAGTCTACATTGTCCCCTTACTATCCCTGTTCCGGACGCAAATCTCCTGGTGACGATCACGTGTGCCACATGTATCAAATGCGAGGGTCGGCGCTTTGCAGCTCGAGGTAGAAGATGCCCAATAACACGATCAAATTTCGGACAGCACATGATATCCACGCGATTTGCAGGCATCTTGAGCGAAATGGTACGCCTACTTACAGGAAATTTAAAGTCAAGCTGAACCGATTCAAGGACGTCGTTACAGAGGGTGTGGCGACGGGCGTGACAGACGGAAAAGAGAAAGGGACTTCAGAAATTCCTTCAGCTCCTGAGGAGAAGGAATACCCAGCCACAATAACACTAAGCGAGCTTGAGGCAGCGAATACTCTGAACAGTGCGGAAAAAAACAGTCTCCGTCTAGTCATTCCACTGCGGTGTCAATTTCGAGTCACTTTGCTGAAGTGCCTTACCGACGAAGTGATTGCCACCAAAAGTCACTTTGCTGAAGTAAAAGCTACAGAAAGCCACTCAGCTGTGAGACACGACAAGAAGCACGTTCCCTCAGCAAAAAGATCCAGCTCGGGGTCAAGCGACGCAGCTGTTTTTAGAGACAACGCGTGAAAAGCACTTAACTGTACTGCGAGAGCACTGTAAACTTGGGGAAACGCACAAAAATGTGTCTAAGCACTTTCAAACTTTGAAAAACACAGTAAGAAGCCAGAACTTGCATTAAGATGCTCGCTGGCACTCCAATACCAGGTACCTCCACAAAGGTAAAAGAACAGCCTGCATTTTGTGCATGGCAGGCGCACTCGTGGCTTGAGTGTGCGCAGAGCAGCGCAATTCAGCCGCCCTAGAGTGGAGTCCAGCGTCCAATCAGATCGAGTCTCCGTTCATTCTCGCGAGCTTGGCGAAGCATGCCCCGGACGCTGCTCTGGAGAGAGCTGGGGTGTGAGCTCGGCGTCGACGAGGCCGACATCA